AAAGTCAGCGGAATTGAATCGCGGTATTCGCGCAGTCTTATTGGGACCACCCGGATCCGGCAAAGGTACTCAAGCACCCCAACTTGCAAAACAGTATTGTGCTTGTCATTTGGCAACAGGTAAATGCATCCTTAATTTCTTAGTTCCGTTACTTATGTCTTTTTTCATTAATGAAAAATCTTGATTGATTCCGTTGGTTCTTTGTTGAATCAATTAGACAAGAGTTATGAAAATAAATTTATGGGTCTGATGTGTATATTTACTGAAGTTTCGGTAGACATGAAGCGGTGTCATAAGTTTTTATTATAATCGAAGATGATCTTATAAGATGAAATTATAATTCAAATTTATCTCCAATAAAGGTGACTTGCTACGTGCCGAAGTGGCGTCAGGCTCTGAATTGGGTAAAAATCTGAAGAAAACAATGGATGCGGGCCAATTGGTCTCGGATGATACAGTGTGTGAGCTGATCAATACAAACCTTGACAAACCTGAATGTAAGAAGGGATTCATCTTGGATGGATTCCCTCGTACCACCGTGCAAGCTGAAAAGGTATATTATTTGAACGTCTCAAATTTGCATTGCTTCATGTAGCTTAATTTGCAAAATCTCAACAGTTATCTGCAATAATTTTTATGCTGACAATGAATAATGGAATTGATTAGTGGTAATTATTAAATTTGTTGACACTAACTGAAACGATTCGCAGTTAGATGTTCTGTTGGAGAAACGTAAAACTCCACTGGATAGTGTCGTTGAATTTGCGATTGATGACGAATTGTTAGTACGCCGCATAACAGGCCGTCTCTTCCATCGTGCTAGTGGACGTTCGTATCATGTGGAATTTAATCCACCGAAGGTACGTGTTGTGGTTCATTGATTCGAATCGTTTATTCTTTGATTCTTTCAAAATTGGATATTCCTTTTAGAGATGAGTTTTTCCTGAATGTTACTTCCAAATAATAAAGCGATGTGTTTTCATCAGGTACCAATGAAAGACGATATTACTGGTGAACCTTTGATACGTAGATCGGATGATAATGAAGAAACGTTGCGTAAAAGATTGATAGCTTACCATCAGCAGGTTCAGAATTGTTTCTGTTTTATTTGTCCTAATATTGTCGTAATACTCCTATTAATGGTAGTGAGGATAATTATTTTAATGCTCGCAACAATTTTCGTTAATATTCATATATCGAATTTGATATTTTGTATCTTTTTCGTTAGTTTTCATCTTTATTAAACGATTTATTTATCGATATATTATCCTGATTCGATTAAAATATTCCAGACGGCACCGCTGGTTGGATACTATCAAAAATGTGGCATTCATACGAAGGTTGATGCATCGCTTTCGTTAGAAGAAGTCGGTGAACGTATCAATAAAATATTCAGTAAATACTGCCATTAAACACAATGGATAATCAGTCGCAGGGATAAGGACCAGTTTTTTGTTTATTCTGTTGAACTGTCACATAGAAATGATCCGCTGTCATTTTTGCTATTTAGGTTCATTTTCGATGCATTCTGAATTTTCATTATCCATAAACGGTTAAATAAAAATATTGTAAACGTCTTATTTATTGTAGCCAAATGTTTTCACTTCATTCCGGTTTCATGTTTGTGATAGGTAATCAAATTGGCAAGTGATAGCTTAGCTAGATCAATCAAGATCATTCCTCTCTACTTGGCATTTATAATTCCTTACAACAGATTGGGGTTTCTTGTTTGAGCAGTCTTACAGAGAAAATGTAGGAGCATCTCTTCTCAACTATAGCATTGATCATTATTTAATTGTTCGTTCATCATGTATTTGGGTTTATCTTTCGTGCATTAAGACGTTCATGTGCCATTCATCACCGGTCGTTGCTGTTAGCAGCTATGTGAATGCACTTGACATTGTTGTTGTCAGATTCTGACCAAAATGCAGACAGTTTGTGATTCAGCTGCAGTCCTCGTAATGAAGCAGTTCGCTGACGATACTGAAAAGCGTATATTACATCGATGCATAATTTCTAGAAATAAAGCTCCCTATTCTCTCTGTTCCATACAATTCTATGGAATTGGTTATCGCGGACATAATCCCACTTATTTCACTCTTTGCTTTCATTTGTAATACGTATGTTTGTTGATTTTTGATTGTTTTCATTTCTGAATAATGAGTGAAATAAAGCGGTTTTAATGACCATTTCTTGAACGTAAAAATTTGAACATCACCAACTATGAATCGTTCCGTTTGATCGATATTCATTCTTATATTGTTTACCTTATTTGTTTTGTTTTGGTTTTTGTTTTTTTTTTCATTTTTCATTTAAATATTTTGTTTTGTCGCAGTTTTGATTATGTAATTTGATGGCCGATTGCAGTGAAGTAACTAAATTTTTTTGTGCTGTCGTATCGAATTCGTTCTAGTAGCGATAACTTCTTTTTTTTTGCTAGCTAATGCGAGTTATTTCTCCGGTAATCTGTAGTTATTAGCGAACGAGTTTTATTTTTACGTTGAACCAGAAAAGGAATTTCTTAATCAGTTGACCGGTTAGATTAGAGAGAA